CCTCGATGAATTGGATATACTCCTCGATTGAGTATTCGAGAGGAAATAAGTTATAGATATAACAATGATCGACTAAAATATATCAACAAGTGGAAAGTAGCAATGCCAAGTCCCTTTTATTCTTGATTTTAATCCCACATAACTCGTTCATCTTCGTGTTTAATTTAATTAAATCACTCAATCAAAACTCCCCCCTTTATTTACTATTTACATAAAAAGAAAGTTATTCCTTTCCCTGTGGATACGAACTCTACTACGCTATACTACGTATTAGTGTTAGTATTGAATTTATTTTGACGCACCGTGACAAAGTGCCCGTCAGCTTGCTTTTGACTCAGGTAGGCTTCCTGATAAAATAAACCACACTCATTTAGTATTGATTCCCAAGAAGGATAATCCATAGGTTATGGGGGATTGGAGACCCATATCACTGTGTAACGTGGTTTACAAGATTTTCTCGAAGGTTTTAGCAAATAGAATGAAATCTTTGTTGAATGTGATTATTTCAGAGAATCAAAACGCCTTTATCCTGGGACGTTCTATTGTTGACAATATCATGGTTGCTTATGAAACTTGTCATTATCTGAAACGGAAGAGACAAGGTAGTACATGATTTGTAGCATTGAAGCTTGATATGAGTAAAGCATACGACCGGGTGGAATGGGGATTTTTAGAGGGTATGTTACGAGCTTTGGGCTTTGAGGATCGGTGGAGCTCGCTGTTATTGGAGTGTGTGAAGACAGTAAAATTCTCAATTCCGTTCATGAATTCTGAGATTGGTCCAATTGTCCCTCAAAGAGGATTGCGGCAAGGGGACCCGTTGTCCCCTTATTTATTTATTTATTATCATGGCAAAGGGGTTGAGTCTACTGATAAAGAAACAAGAGGCGATGAAGAAGCTCCAGGGGATAGCAGTGGCAAAAAAAGCTCCCAGGATCTCTCATCTACTTTTCGCGGATGATGCTCTCCTATTTTTTGGGCAACACACAGTGACTGCTCGGTGATTCGGGAAATACTTGAGGAGTATGAGCAAGCGTCTGGGCAGGTGATAAACTATTCTAAATCAATGCTAAACTTTAGTGGAAATGTCACAGCAGGGGACCAACTGGGTATATCTGAACTGTTTGGAGTCGGGCAGTCTGGCGGGGACACTAAGTATCTAGGATTGCCTTCACTTGTTGGGAGAAAAAAGAGGGCTATCCTGGGGTATAATCGAGAACGAGTTATCTCTCGAATCCAAAGTTGGAATAATAGATTCCTATCGAAAGCGGGCCATGAGGTGTTATTAAAATCTGTCATTCAAGCTATGCCGATGTACGCAATGCAGGTCTTCCTACTGCCAGGTGACTTGTGTAATGAAATTGAGAGAATCATGAATAAGTTCTGGTGGACTGGAGGCTCAGACCGGGGTATATATAAAATGGAGAAGCTGGGACGGGTTGTGTAAACCAAAGGCAAGGGGAGGGATGGGATTTAAACGGCTTCGCGAGTTTAATATTGCAATGCTCGGTAAACAAGCGTGGCGTTTGCTTTTAGCACCACAGTCTTTAGTAGGACGAGTTTTTCAAGCTAGGTACTACCCGAAGGCTACATTCCTAGAGGATGATTTGGGGAGTAACCCCTCATTCATATGGAGGAGTATTATGGAGGCTAAAACAATTGTTGTTAAGGGATATCGATGGAGGGTAGGTGATGGGAAGACAATCAAGGTTTGGTCTGACCCGTGGCTACCAGGAAAGGACCCTATGGTTCACACATCCAAATGGGAGGGGCTGGAAGATTTAATAGTAGCAGGGCTAATGGAAATAGAGAGCAAGAAATGGGACATAGATATGATTTTGGATATACTGGATCCAAGAGATAAGGATCTTGTTTTCAGCATCCCTTTGAGCAATCGAGAGGTTCCCGATAAAATAATTTGGGCATGGGAAGCGCGAAGGGAGGTTACTCGGTTAGGAGCTGTTATAGAGCACTGATGGGTGATTGTGAGGACATACGGTGGATGGGCTGGACGCGTGTTTGGGGCCTAGCTATTCCGCCAAATGTAAAAATCTTTTTTTTGGCAACTTTGTGTAGGGTATCTACCGACGGCTGATAAGCTTAGAGACAAGAGAGTTAATGTCCCGGGTGGATGCTGCCGGTGCGAAGAGGAGCTGGAAACAGTTTGTCATGTTTTTGGGAAATGCAGAATTGCTAAGGAGGTCTGGGGTAGACTAGGTTGGGGAGAGAGCGTGGGAGAGGCAGATTCGTTCATAGCGTGGGTCGAACAATTTTTTCCAGCCATGAACGAGGAGTGTTGGAGCCTGTTGGTGATGAATTGTTGGGGCATTTGGAGAGCACGGAACCAGCAAGTGTGGAAGGGAGAAGCATCCTCAGCTGAGCAGATTTTGAGGGGAGCTATATCCTCTTTGGAGTCTTGGAGGAATGCGCAGCAGAAAGGAAAAAAAGAAGTATTGCAGCAGCGGAATAAAGCTTCGCGGTGGAGAAAACCAGCAGAGCAAGTGGTTAAAATCAACACAGATGCAACCTGTCAGACTAAGGTAAGAAGATGCGGTCTTGGGTGGGTGGCTCGGGATGATTCAGGGTGCTTCTTGGCAGGCGGTGCTTCACCATGGCTAGGAAATTGCTTACCTCGAGAAGCGGAGGCACTTAGCATTCGTGAGGCCCTTAGCTGGATCATTGAACACGGCTCGAGCAATGTGCTTTTTGAATCCGATGCTTTGGAGGTTATTTCAAGTATTAATTCTGATAGCGGAGATTCAAGTTTCGGCCTTATTGTGAAAGATATTAAAAGCATGAGAGAGTTTGTTCCTAGTATCTCTTTCGTTTATGTTAGACGGTCTGCGAATTGCACCGCTCACTGTCTTGCTAGGGCGGCCGTTTCTATGTCTAATCGTGAGGTGTGGGTTTCAACCCCTGGTTGTATTCGGGATGTTATACACTTTGACTTGATAAGTGATACTATGTATTTAATAGTTTTTCCTTCAAAAAAAATTTATTCTAATGAATTTTAAATCATTTGGATAGAATTACAATTTACACACAAAACATTCCATCTGAAATCTCTGACCCCATCCACACCATCCTATGCACTTTCTCCGTCAACTTCATCTTATATTCTTCTTGCACAGTAGCTTTTCCATTCCTTCTTGTGCAACCATTTTGATAAAAGCTGGGGAATGCAAATCTCATTTTTCACAAATACAAATTTTAAAGAAATTTGGAGCCTGTTTGGTAGTCATGATTTTTGACTTATTGATCAATTCTGTTACAAAACACGAAATTTTTGATTTTACGCGTTGAATAGTGTAATAATCAAAATAAGTAAGATTTTAGCTATTTTTCATACAATTTTTTCTTTAACAATGGGACAAGGCGGTGCTTCACCATGTTCCGTCCCACTAACAATGGGACAAGATGGAGTGACACGCAAATCAACAAAAAATGATTTATGTGGTTGATATTGAATTGATAAAGTAAAAATAAAGTAAGAATGATTTAGATCACACAAATTTTAACAAATTTGGTATGAGACCATCTTAATGGGACAGATGAAGTATCATAAAAGTATAAATTTATTGAGTTTCGTATGAATATATTTGTTAAAATAATGGATCAAAGTTTATCATCTTTAATTAGAAAAGTCAAAGATGACTAAATAAAAAGGGAAGAAGGATCTTACGGAACCTTCCTCTACTCCAAATTTGATGCCAAGTTTATGGGTATGTTTGGCACAACTATATAAAAAGATACTTTTACGAGCTTTTTAATAACTGTTAGCTTTTAGTGACTGAAAAGATCTTAAAAAGAAAAGGTGATAGCTGTTTGGTAAAAAGCTGACTATTTGATTTAGTTCGGTTTGGTATACAAGCTGTTAGGACTAATTAATACTAAAAGTCACGAGCTTTTCTCATATGCTACACCCGGTAGCATCTCAGAAAAGATCTTTTAATTTTTAAAAAGCTCTTAAAAAATGTCATGTCAAACATACAACTAAAGTCTTTTAAGGTCTTTTTAAAGAATAGAGAAGCTAGAAGCTAGAGCCTTTTGTGTGTCAAACATAGCCTATCTGAAATGTGCTAAAATTTGGTCTCGTTAACCAAAAAGTTCAAACGAATTGCGTTTTAAACGCATAATTTAATGTCGTGATTCGTGAAGTAGAAATTTGCTTCGTCATTGGAGTCAAATATCCGAAATTTTTTGGATCCGTTTCTGAAGAGTCGCGAGTTTCCGTACAGTTCTGGGTCATACAGTTGTGGGCTTTGCGCGCGCGTCCTAATATGTTTAAGGATTCGGTTTTTTACTCCCTATAAATACAAGCTTTCTCATTTATAATCACTTGATCCGAAAATTAATAATTATTACTGGCTTGGTAGCGCCCCCAGACGTAGTCCTTTGTGACGAACTGGGTTACCAAATTCCGTGTGTTATTCTTCGCGTTAATTTATTCTTAACAAAATACTGGTAACGTAGAGGCAATTCTAAGATCAAGGTGAAATTGCAAATTTTTGTTTTGACGCATGTTTGTAATCCTTTGGAACTATAATTAAGGGAATAAAACATCAATTTAACGTTTTAATGTACGTGGCTCCTCTACGTCATTGTTTTTAGCCATTTTTCCTTCTAAAAAAGATGACACCCCATCCCTGAGGGCCCCCAACACCAACCGAACGACACGATGTGATGATGTAAATTGGACTGTAATCACAATCTGACAGATAGAGAGTGGGGTTCCGTCTCCGGTACTTGCAGAGGCCCTATACATTTTTAGCATAATAACCACTCATCGCGGTTGCCGGGATTTGAACCCGGGACCTAACCCTTGTGACACTCATTCGCTACGAGTTGAGCTACACCCACCGGTAAGACATTTTTCCTTGTGGCGTGTTTGGACGTTGATTGCATACTCTCGATGAAAGGGAATTATTGAAGGAGACCACTGTTTTATACTTCGTATTCTGTGGGGTTAAAACTTCAAAGGATCATAGGTAGGTAGCATTCAAGACGTTAACAATTGGATAAAATATTCTGATACCATGTAAAATTTCAACTAGGAAAGATACCCTTACCTATTACCGGTCTACTGAAGAGAGAAAAAGAGAGGATTATTATACTAATCTAGACATAACACCGCAAATTAAGGGAAAGATAATGCCAATGTGAATGCCAAACAGTCCATGCGGTGGCCGGCGTGAAAAGGGCAAAAGAATATAAAAATAAAAAACGAGTAATTAAGCTCCGGCCGAGATGACTCTACCGATACAGAAAGCAACTTGCCGCCGGAGTGCACGTCGTCGGAAACATTATAAAACTTCGTCGTCCGCCGTGATCAGCGTGTATGTGTGTATTCCTACTGTACGGCGCACGGCGTGCTTGTCAATTGTCAGCACCAAATTAACTAAGAAAACGAAGTGGTCAGAACATGTAATTGTTTGTCTCATTTCCCGCCGATGAAGAAGAAGAGGATCCTCTGTGACTGTTTGCCGGGAATGAAAGACCTCCGGCGAGAAGGTCGTCGGCACTAGAGATCCCAATACCCGAAATGTTTCCGTTATTGGGAGAGGCGGAGAACATGAAGTGTCCGCTCTGCGACGGCTGATACTGCAAGTGATACCCGCTGTTGGCCCTCGCCGGAGCCGGGTTGAGAAGCTGAGGATGGCGGGGGATACTGCTCCCCAACCCGAACCCGAAATTCATGCCCGACCCGGGATGCAGAAACGGGTAGTGACCCGCCTGCTGCGCCGCCAGGGCAGGCCCGCCGGTGAACTGCTGCACCATGGCGCGGAAGTTGGACGCGTCGGTGTTGAGAACCGTCGTCGGAGTTCTCCTGGAAGCTCGGGTCCTTCTGCGCACCGCCGGCTTCGAAACCCGGCCCTCGGGGCTCAGCCTGCCGCCAAGAGAGTGCGGTGCGGTAGGGGAAGTCACGGTGGTGGTGACCACCGTGGCGTCGGAAACCCGGCCGTCGCCGCCGAAAAGATTGGTCAAGGGGTCCTGACACGACGGCGTTAAGCTGTGCTGATAGAATTGAGCCCAGTCGCTAGGGCCCACCGGCATGGTTTCACTCAGGGCCATTACAGAACAGATTATTGGTGTTATGGTATAAGGAATTAAGGAGTGTGTTAATTAAACTAGTGATGAATTGAAGAAGGAAGGAAGAAAAGATTGGGAGAACGTACACTGAGTTAAAAACATATTTATAGGAAAAGGAAAGGAAGGGGGGCCGGGATTGAAAAGGTCAAAGTGCCAAAAAGTCAAAGAATGTACAGTAGCCGGAGAGTTCCATTATGGAGGCACGGGATGAGGATCGGAGATGGCGACCCGCCCGCTGATGTATGGCGAAAGGAGGACACGTGACGTAGCACGTGGGCGCGCTGCGGTAATTGTTCGGCATGTCGTGACCGACCCACTGCTTGGAAGTTTCCTTGGTCGTGGTTTACATTTTACAACCATTTTCACTTTTCACCGTACACGTTTGTGAGTGGGGGTTGTTTTCATCAGAGTTGCGAAACCCATTTTTCATTCACAAAAGAGGTTCAGGTTCCGTTTGGGAATCAATCCAACATTAATGTTGATCATAATTCATACAAACATACATACCTCCGCTTGTGTCTTGAGATAGTGACAGGCAAAAGGATTTGTTTTTTTGAGGTTGTGTCAAGCAAAAGGATTTTGCCTCCAAACGTTTTAAATTAATTAAAATATAAAACAGGAGTCACTCTTATATTTTTGGATGGAGGCTTAGATTAATAAAATAGCATTTAAATAGGGTTTGAAATAACAAAATGACCACATATAACCATACGCCATTGAACCAGACTCAGAGTTAATCACCGTTGACAAATCAATATAACTCGATGATCCTAACTTGGGCATAATACAACCAAAGACAATCACCGCAGACTTCTCATCACTCATTCCTAATGCAAAAGTCTCACAACATAAAATCAAATAAAAACAAAGCACAATCGTCTTAGCGTGGAAATTAAGATGCAAAAACACAAAAAAGTAAACGCCATAGCTAGTCCTCTTAAGCAGAATCACCAAGTGCACCACCGGCAGGTCTAGAAGTCCTGACCTGCCGCCTCCCCATTTTTTATTCGTCTAGAGACATGCCCTCACCAACTGCAACCTCTTTTGATTGTTCTTCCCAAATCCTTCTACGTTTCGCCTCCCCTGGAACCTCCTCGGTATCACCTATATCACCCTTCATGGTCGATCCTGTTCCCCTATTCCTTCACTCTCTAAACATGTCTTCCGTTGTAGCGTGACACTTCCTGAGCTTGACGAATTATCCACTAACCGCTTATTAGTCCCTGTGGGACTTGTCTTCCCACCTCCACCAGCCCGAAGTTCAACCCCAAAAGTTTTTTTCCAACATAATATCTTCCTCATATTTCAAGGGGCAGAATTTGTCAGAATGCTCAATCACTCCTCACATGAAACAAAAATTAGGTAGTTTTTCATAAAGTTATTACCCTAAATAGGAGTAAAGTATCACCAAAATTCTAAAATAGGAGTACACATAAATTTATTCCCAAAATAGGAGTTAATAAACGTGCTCCCCTTTCCTCTTCCCAATATGCCCTGCGCCCCATCCGCTATTTTTTCTCTCTTCCTCGTTAAAATCCAACCGCCTCTCCTCAATATCTCGTCTCTTTTGCGACCATGTTCTCTCTTCTCCATGGTGAAATTTGATTCCCCCAAACTTTCCTACGAGCAGCAGTAGCGCACAGGCCAAGTAAGTTTGGATCTGGTTCTTCTTTCTCCTTCTGATCTCTGATCTTCTCTTCTTCCTCTTCTTTCTTTTTCTTCTCCTTTCTTATTCCTCTTTTCTCCCATTCGATCCTTCCTCCTAATCCCCCCAATTCGTTTTGTACCCTCATTCTTTTTCAGAGAATTTGAATTGTATTTTTACAATCGATTTTAATAAATTCATTTTATAAATTTCAGATTATGTTTTTTTTTTTCAATTTGGAATTGCCAATTTCACTTTTTCTAATTCAATTGTCAATTCAAAAATAAGATGACTTTTCTGTACTAACATGTCACTAATTTCGTATGAATCTGTTAATTTCAACACATAGTTTCACTTTTATGGCATGAAATCCATCAGGATGACAATATAAAGGGTTAATTTGATACAATAATGCCATCTATATGGAACTAAAGTTTATCTCGATGGCAATAAGAAAATTTATGTTTATAATGCCATGAAATTGTGAAGATGGCAATACGATCTGCATCCTCTGTTTTTGTGGGAATTTCATCATGAGACATATTTTAGATCACTCTTTCATGACTTGAGGTGGATGGTGGTGGTGTGAAAGCTGGTGCTGAAAAGCCAAAGTTGGGGCGGGAATACGGGATGAGTAGCTGCGGCACAGGATCCAACATCAATGGCTGCGTTGTGTCGGCGATAGAAATAGCAACGACAACAGGCAGCAACGGCCACGGCGGCCGTGGCGGCGGCTAGCAACCGTGGTGGCCGCAGCAACGGTGGTTGAAAATGGTGGTGGCGGCGATAGCAAATGTTGGCAACGGCAATTCTGGGCTTCTGGCTTTAGTGTTGCGCACGGAGAATAGTGTTATGAAGCTTTGCTTGTCTGAAGCTTTGAATTAGTACGGAGTAGTTTATTTTATTTTTTCAATAAAGAAATCCAGTTACTCGTTAAGGGTACTTATGTCAACTTACAAATTTTTACTCCTACGTAGTTATAACGAGTATTAGACTCCTATTTTTGCACTTTTGTTATAATTTACTCCTACATAGGGAATTGACTCTTTTTCATATTTAAAATCTACCCAATGCCAACTCCCTCTTTCTTTAAACTAGTTCCCTTCTTCAGAGGCTTCCCCACATCCATGCACACCCTTATTCTCATATAAGAATTTGATTTTTCGTCAAACTGGTTCTTATCAAAACTAATAAATGAGCCAATATAGTTTCCAATTCTCTTAGCAGATCCTAGATTCATGAATTTAAATGATACATTGTGGACCTGTACCCAGAACTCAGCCTCACACAAATTCATCTTATGGGGTATATCATCTGGCTGAACTGCCTTTAAGAGTAGTAAATCTCTCTCGAACAACCAAGGACCATCCTCAAGCACACGATTCATATCCACAATATGATAGAAAGTAAAAAGGTACCCTTTTTCTCCAATTTCTTTGATAGCTAGAAACCCCCTTGCTCGGGCGCCAGATTGAAGCCAAAGGGTCTTTGAATACTTGAAACTTAATTTTCCGATCCGTGACCACGACTCCGACCACCTGGTATTCCACCCTTTCGTCGGCTGCATCAACCTCCCCGACATCCTCGTCATCAAAATTGAGTTTGTTATCTTCCTCGCCAATAGTCATCTTCTTATAATTATTTATGATATCATCCATCGAACAACCCCTCGGAAAACGACTTTTGCCCTATGCCCGTTCCGACCGAAGAGAAATCTGCTGCAAACTAGGCCTCGTTTCTTCTCAACTGCTGATACTCGACAAAAGCGCTAGCCAACTACGAAGCCCAATCGCAAAACCAGCGGAAATCGTCCTGTACGGCCGTTCTTCATTTGTAACGAAAACGGAAAAGAACCGGCTCTAGCGGCTAAGCCCTAGAGAGAGAAAATTTTACACATGCTTAGCACTCACGTACTCTTGTTTAAATAACTAGTTTTTCAACGCGCGTTGCGCGATAGAAATAATGCCCAAAATATTCTCCAACTTATATAGTATCCGCAAACAAAATAAAACTTGGTGATTTTTTAATAAAAGTAATCAAATAAATATGATCTTGTTGCAACAATTTGCATTATAATAGAAGGCACAACTATTATAATGCATTGTCTAGCAAAGTGAATTACTTATAAGTAAGCTAAGAAGGATGGATGGGGTCCAATAATGTATCTATCAATAAATGCGAAAACTCTATTTAACTTTAAATAGAGCAATTAGAAATGAGCGCGGAAGAATGCTTATGTATCAATACACATGATCATAAGTTTGGAAAAACCTTACATGGTATTTTGATGATATGAAAATAAGATAAAAAAGATCAATTGTACTAAAATGATTTTGTACCTTATTAAGAACAGTAAACTGGTTGCTAGATTAGAAATACACATTTCAATTTTATCATTAGTTGAACTTCGAAATTTTGGAATGTAGGTAAAACAAATTTGTTAAGGTAAAAAGGCAACGGGAGAACAAAAATCATGCACATCCACACATTGCAGTTTGTTGAGGAAGGACCTTTAGGGCAACTTGTTTTCACCCCTCCTAAATGTCCAGAGGAGTTATTAGCACAAAAACGACAACATGAGGGGGGTTAAATAGTAACAAATACGTAGTATATATTACTCTGTTCCAAAATAACGTTTCCGTTTCAATTTACGATATTTGACATATCATTAAGTTGACCGATCCCTATTAATAATAAGATTACTCTTACGAAACATTTTTTTTATTCAGAAACTACATTAAAAGTTTCTTCAATAAAGAGTTCAAATTTGATAAAAGTTGGATAATAAAAGAGATAACATTAAAAGTTTCTTCAAAAACTACATTAAACTGGCAAGATGAACAATGAACAAAAACTTTATTATGGGACAGAGGTAGTATTAAAAAGACATCAAGCAATTTAAGTTAGAAAATATACATGATATGGAAATAAATTGAAACAAAAAAAACTGAACGAAGTGCAAAAATTTAGAAGGGCTAAATCAATGTAGTTATAGGTCTGTGAAGTGTATAGAAGTGTCGAATTCTCAAGAGTTAAAATGCAGTCAAACGAATCAAGTGTACATAAATGTTAAATTCACAAATCCTCAACAATGACAATATATTGTTTAGACCTCATCAAAAACTTTTATATCTTTGACAAAAAACTATGATATTTTTGCAAAGATGAAGGTAGCTATTCAACAATGGAGCTGTCAATCAACTCATAAACATATAAAAAAATTCTAAATTGTATCTGTTTAGGATTTATCTCACAGATGTTATACATTTCTTAGGGAAAACTGAAACAAAAATCTAAACTATTCAAATTATATACATTTTCAGAATTTGTTATAAGTTTAGCTAGCACTTTAAAAGATAAGTTTATATTGTTTAAACTATTAACAGAATGATCCACTGGATGCTTCTACTCACTTAAGAGCAATATATATAAGA